ATTATACTACATATTGATTTCTGCATCACAGAAATTAAATTTTTACTACATTGGTGCTATTGGTAATTTTTCTTAGACTTCAACAAAATTGTACTTTATCGCTCTGACTGATTCCACTCTTGTTAACTTATCTAAAAGATTTTCAATTGAACCGAAGCCTTGGTTTCCATATTGCTTGTCTGAAACCATTATGTTTTGCGAAGAAATTCATTGTTTTGCAGAATGTGAATGTGCATTTTGAAAAATAGCAATATCTTGTTGGAATATATCCCGGCTAGACCCCCTAAGTGTCTTATCGCTACATTCCACTCTATAGATGCTTTTAAAAATCAGTATAAATATTGAAGTAGACATTTCAAAATTATTTTTAAAAAAAACGAAGAAAAAAAAGCCAGTTGAAGACAGAAAAAAGTTCATAATATCCAACTTCCTCACTTTTTAGTTCACTATATCCACAAAAAATAACATTATACGTGTATAGCAAGGCACGGGAACTCACATTTCGTTCACTATATCCGGGAGTTTACTATAAACCATGAAGAACTGTAGCGGGGTTTGACTGTATATATATGTATATATATTTACTGCCGGAGCTTATCAGGCAACCCTATTCTAAGTTAATGACTATCAATGTTCTACTCCATAGCCATGTAGTATTGAACCCAACCCAGAAGACACGGAAACTTCAGGAATCGAACATTGGGACAAACTACCACTCACGTTATTACGTTACATAGAGAGGAAAACCACAAAAATCTACCACGGCAAGCGAATTCCAACCCATGACTCGTCTACTATTGAGGATGTTTTACATCAGTACTGTGGTCAGTATGAGTCATGAGCAGAATTCGTGTCAACCAGTCATCACTGGGATTCGAATCTGAGACATCTCCTGGTGAGGTGAACGCTCTGTTCCCTGTGCCACCACGGTTCTGATTACTACATTACCCCAAAGTGAAGCTTAAGCATTTAAAACGCTTTTCAAAACGAACATTTTGAAGAGGTATCTGTAACTAGTTCGAATATATGCCGCCTAGTCTATCTAAATATCCATACACGACATAAAATATTGTTCTAACAATCGCCGATAGGGAATAGATACATTATATTTCGAAATAAAATAACTGCATATCACAGGAGATAGTAGACGAAATCATGATGGGCAAAATATGAAATTTTGAAAGGGACTAGAATCATGATGCATACGTAATCTGTTTTTGGAATCAGGGATATTAAATACAACAAAACAATTCTGGCATTTATGAAGCACACATGCTATGAAGACTGAATTATGATGATGAGAGTTTTGATGAATATGAAATCATGATAGAGAAATGGTAAAATCAGTTCTGAAATTTCAGATAAACTATTCATCGAATCAAAGTATTTCCTAATAACTCTATTTTAGTTTGCGTAATGTTTTGTGTTATATGGCGGCTCCACACCAAAGACAATATGAAGGGACAATTTCATAGGTGTTTTTATAAATACGAATAAAACTATTTTTAGGTATTAATATTTGGTACAAAGATATTTTGGAACTTTCGAGTAATATATTAATTACTTGTATTAACGGGACCTTGGCCAAAGAACGGGACAATTAAGAGGGGGGGTTGAATTCCCTAATTCTTAAGTTTGGCAACAAATTTTTCCTAGTTATAAAGAAACTTTTGTAAGTTATTTGTAGTAGTTTTGTAGAAACTCTGATGATTGGAACTCGAAGTAATTGTAATTAAAATTTCGCTTCTTATCTGAAATATTAATTGCTTGGTTACTTCATGTGCGGTACTAAGTAATCAGGGGTCTGTCGAGGCCGAATTTACTACCGTTTAGCGGTACCTTCACAAATTCAACTTTAGGACAAAAAGTAGTTTCACAAATTCAATTTTAGGAAAAACGAAAGTTTCACAAAATACTTTTTCTTAAAATTTTATTTTTGTATCCCTTAAGAAACGATAAATCCATATTTTTTGTGCTGATATTTTAATATAATTTTTAATTTTTCACAAATTATGCCTAAATTTTCACAAAATAGATACCTTTCAGAAAAACCTAGACAGACCCCTGGTAATGTAATTGGGTACCCGCAAACGTGGGTATCGAACCCAATTGGTCCCTATATCATGGCGTTTTCTTATGCCACGAGTTAATATAGTTTGACATCCACGTGTGACGTCGTCGCTTGAAGATACCCAATAAAATCTGATAAAAAAAACTGACACAGCTTGATTATAAACCAAACCAATAAACCAGCTCTTTTCAATTGTCTTCTTTTTCTCGAGTTGCAGGAATCCAATTGCCCTGCTATTAAGTTCGGTAATAAATAATAACTGATCCAAAGCTAACTCTTAAACGTTATTAGATTGTAGCAACTCTGTTAGTTAGAGCAGAGATAATTCATGTTTTATATGTAATATGAGACATTTATAGGAATCTCTTTGTTCAACTTTGAAAACATCAACAATTTGCATACAAATCAATACTGATTTGATTAAAACTTTAAAATTTTATAAAAGAAATTCATTTACATGTATAACTGACCTTAAATTCGTTTGTGCCCTTTGAAAACCTTCTACATTAAATTTAGATCATCTTCCAAAAAGAGTTGATATAGTGCTTTCTCGCAAGGCTCTACCTGATGAAAAGAATAAGCCCACGATGCATGTATTATTCTTTTTTTCTTCTGATTCACGTTTTTTAAAAGTTTTATCGCTGTTACTCTTGTTGACAGCCTAGCTTGACGGATGGTGGGTAATCCTTTCCTTCAATGCCGCTGATTGCCCCGCACATTAACACCGGTGCATACCTACGATGATAATCTGTACCTTACTCAGCCTTTGGCGCTATTTGTATCGAAATTATCTGCCGACTTATCTTTTTGGAGGGCACCCTCGCCTTTACACGTTAAACTTGGAACTAAAAGTGGAAATGGGTAGGCAAGTTCAAGAAGAAAAGAGTTTGTATTCCTCATCTTATCCCAACCTAACGAGAGAGAAAAAAAGAAGCTTTTTAAGCTTTTGACTCATTAAGATTTTGATTAGTTTTTGTGCCAAAACAGTGGAAGCAGCTGAAATATGAGATTAAAACTGACTGTTGTCGAGGATTCGGTATCGAATTTTTCTGTTTCAATTTTTAATTTCGGGAAGAATAGGGATTATTTTTGGAAAAGGGAAAAAGAGAAGAAAAAAAAAGTCTTACAAAAGTAATTACGGAGACAAATTATAGAAGACTTCCTCACTTGATCTACAACAAAGATTGTGAGTCATTTGTTAGAACAGAGGGAGAAAAGTCTGTCTTTTTTCATTTTTTTCAAGAGACATTTGTATTAGATAAAACAGTTTGGCAAAGAATACCAGAATGCTTCAGAAATTTTGAAAAATGTTTAGTCGAAAATTTTTCATTTATGTTGATTTATGTGTGAAAAATACAAAAGGAATTCATATGTATTATTTAACCTCACATAAAAAATACACCAATTAACAAATATTTTTAGATTTAGATTAGATTTTCATTGTTGAGAATGACATAGCAACAATCAGTGGTTTACAAATTCCAGCCACCACGATTCCTAAATTTTACTATTTTGTGCGCCTAGTATTTTAGCAAAATTTAACCTTAAAAAATCCCCCTGAAAATCCAAACTGGTCATAACGCCAACAAATTTTGACTGAAAATGTAACCATGAATAATGTAACTCGGACCTCTTATATTTTTTTGCGTGTTTTGTAGATTATTCCCATCAAATATTACGTAGACGCAGGATTTACATAGCTTTAATAATATTAATTTTGTTTATAGTATCTCTTATAATTTTGTGCGAGTTCAACGATTACTCACATCGAACATTGCGTGGACGTCGACCTCATAGCTTTTATAATACTATTTTGTTAACGTTTGTCTCGTTGCATATATCCCCAAGTCACAAAATACGCAAGTAATAGCATCTTCATACTTATATCTTCATTTCTTTTAATTTTAAACGCTGTATTTCATCTTGAAAGACATTTTTTTAAATCTCTTCAAAAATTTATGTCTAGAAATTGGCGACAACTTTTATAAAAGTAGCAAATAATATATTTTTTTTCGTTTTTTGGCTTCATAAAATCGTTGCTTTAACAAAAATAAGAATATGGTTTGACTTGCAAAGTATACAGCATAATTGATCAATATTATTGGTTAAGCCTGTTGCAATATTTTAATACCTACATTTGTTGCTTCATAATAAACAAAGCAATAATTATAGTAGAAATACGCATATTTTATTGCAAAACGTTTGTGATTTGAAAATTTAAAACTAGCATCAATATTTTTATCTCTGCAGCGGAGTTACTAATTTATCAAACGTGCATGAATATCTTCAATAAAAATTGTGGCTTTACATTTACATTGATTACTTCATGATAAGAAATATTTTCACAATTTATTATAATTGCTTTATGAAGCAATATTTTTAAGAATGTAGAAGCATGCGTATTTTAAATTCAAAGCGTCTCTGTCAATATTTTGGAAATGTTAACTTCATCAATAACAATGTTAACTACATTTTCAAAATAGTAATGGCGTAACTGGTTTGCTAAACGTGTCTTAATATTAAAAAAAAAAAAAAATAAAAAACTATGGCTTTAGAATGACATCGATAGCTTTATGATAAACAAAGCAATATTTTCAAGAGTCTAAGCATGTATATTTTAATACAAATAATAAATATAGCAATGGCGCAACTGGTTTACTATATAAATGTGTATCAATATTTTCAATTAAGACTGTGGCCTTATGCAGGCTCAATTAGAGTCATGATTGGAAAAAAATGCTAGGTATCTGGCTAAAAAAAGTCCCAACTTTTGTAATGTTAAACTATAAAAGATATAATATCTTGTATTGAACTAATATCAGATCATTTACGAAAAAAAAATATTACCAAAATGTTTGTTTTGTTCTTAACACTTTTTTGAAATTACTTATGCATAACAAAGATATACATTTCATCAACAATACTTTACCTGTGAAACATCCAAGCCATTCAGAGGTAAGCACTGTTCTTCAGCCCGCTCTACAGCTCCAGATTTTTTACCTAACCTAGTCGCTTCCCGAGCCAAATATAGATCTAGGACAGGAATGCCTCTAGTTCGAACATCACTTTCCGTCAAGGAATTCAACATGAGCATCACCCACACGGGTCTTTTCTTCTCCCAGTTACCTGAAAAATAAATAAATAAACTACTTGACCACTTCAATAATGCCGAAATTCAACCTATATTGAGAAAATTGAATATTTAATCTTATTTTTAATTGGATACTTGCAAATGATGTCATCGTAGGCAAATTGTAGTTTGTTGACTCTAAAGCCAATCAGGTGGGACGCACACGCGTGACGTTTTTTACAGGTATCCAATTAAATCTGATTTAAGTCACATGATTAGGCATAATCACTTCACTTCCTCTCGAGTTGAAAGTGCAATTTAAAAAAAAAATTAAATTTGTGACTAAATTTACCTCTTTGTATGTTAAATATTTCATTTTTCTTAGATATAATAAATAATAATTCAAAGACATCAAATTAATTTGAATTAATTTAAATTATTTTTAGGACCAGCTACTGGTAGTTACTATCGGCACTGATTCAACAGCGTGGAGAGAATTCGAGTTGAATATTTTTATAAATGGTAAAACCGAGTTTCAATTCAGTGAATACTTTATTGGATTGAAATCTTGATTTAACAAAATACTAACAACAATACTAAAACAATACTAAAAGTGAAAGTTTATGCCTAACTAGCTAGTTATGATATTCACCAAAACGGCGACAAATGATGATCTGTAATAACGCTAAAAGTTTGGAGAAAACATTTTGCAAGGATCGTTATCCAAGTCTCGGCGGTCCTCTCACAATTACACACTGTGGAACAATTTTGTTGTTGCATTTACACAAATATTTCCTTTTGCTTAATTCGGGCGTGGGACATCCAATCATAAATTATTTTTGCCCCTAAAGCTACATTATTTTACTAAATGTCATTTTAAGGCTATTTTTTGTCGAAATGTGTAGATTTCAAAACGTTATATATTACAATGGGTCGCGTAAATGTTGCTATAAACTTCTAAGGGAGTTAGGGCACATCATCAGGATCAAAATTGCATAAAAACCCATGCCTTTAAATGCCGTCGTATATGATTCAGGGCGCTTCCGTATTACGACCTATTCAGAACTAAAAAAAGATTACTTCTTAATAGGGAAGCACCCTAGCTGCGTATGATGACATTACTTGACATTTTCTATGCAGTTTTAATCCTGGTGTTGTGCCCTAACTCCCCTAGAAGTTTCTCTCAACATTTAAGCTACTCATTGTTATATAGAACATTTTTAAACTTGTATATTTCGACAAAAAATAGAATAAAATGTCATTAAAAAAACAATAACTTGGTGAGAGAAATCAATTGCATACTTGATAGCAGATTGGAAAAATATCCGAGATCCATTAAAAAATCTCACGCATCAGAGAAAAAAATATGTTCTCCAATGTGATTGTTTTTTTTTTTTTTTAATTTTTTTTTTAATTTTCTTATTATATTATTTTTTTTAATGCACTCTACAATTTTTCGATGTTGTAGGTTCGTTTCCAAATTAAATATTTAAAATTGGGAAGTTATAATAATTTTTTTTTTCACCATAATAAAACTGCTCATCATTAGTTTGTTTTAGTTTTAACAATTGACTAGGTATCTATTTTAAAAAAAAATAAAAATACATGTATTCGAAAAGATCTCAAGATAGAAGAGATGTTATCTCTTCTTTTCTTAACTCATTCCAGGAAGTAAATGAATTTTTTTTTAAATCTTATTGTTAGCCAGTTTCTATTTTTAAATTATTGTTTACACAAACAATCCTTACTGCAAAAAAGCAAAGGAGAAAAGCAATTTAGCCAGTTCTTTCGGTCGTTAACGTTGTATAACAGTTTAGAGAAAATAATTCAGTCGCTATATAGTTTTGAATTAAATTTGATCCCTATTTATATTATTATACTATATTTCATACGGAGAAGACGAGTAAAGATATACTTAGTGGTTTTACTATTTTATAGTGCTGTCACTAAGGGCAATTCCACCATTTGCGAATGCCATATTTGTAGACCTAAAAAGAATATAGCTCAGTTAAAAAAAAAAAAAAATCCAGAAGCTCTTATAAAATTTGTTAAAAAAAATCTTGCTGTCATTTACACTTACTCCATTTTTTATTAGCCTTAATAAGTTTAAAAAAAAAAAAAACTTTTTAAAAACTAAAAACACGAGGTACAAAGGACGTAGTGCACAGTGTTACAAATGTAACTGTCAGTTTTTAATTTCTAAAAAGAAAATTAAATTTCTGAAACTTAATTACAAAAAATTAGAGCAAGATACCAAAAATTATTTTAACAATAATTCTTAGAACTACTTGACTTTTTTCTGACACATAAGCAAATTAAAAACTGAACTATACGTTTGCATTTCATTTTAATTACATTTATAACGCTATATATTTTCTTAAAAAAATATTTATTCCTTATTGCTGAGTTTTTTCGGCAAACGTTATTTTCCGGCAAAATATTATTTTGAAAATTGCTTGCTTCAAAACTGAATTCTGTACAAGGGAAACATTTTTGATTAAATTCCTTAGCGACTTCAGATGGAAAAAAAAACTCTCCCTCTATATATATAAATAAAAAATAGAGTGTTTTTTCCTTATTCTTGTAAAAAAACCAAAATAAAGCGGGAAAACTGTCACTTCTGCTAAACTTCGTTCGCGTGATAAACAAAGTTGACATGCCGCAAGGATGAAAGAAAAAGCATCCTGGCTCTGCATCAAAGAAAATTATGTCAAAGTTGCGAACAGTAAACCCCAAGAACAGATGTATAATCGCAATTTATTAGTTGAAGCCTTTTTGCTCATGTGAATCTATCTTACATTAAAACATTTAGAAGTGCTTGATTAAAATTGGATTGTTTATGCGAAAATAACAATAAGTCCTTCTTTAAATAATTATTGTTGCCTCTCGTCTGAGTGAAGAATGAATTTCTTTCCTTCGTTTGATGTATCTTTCTATAATTGACTTGTCTTTTTCTGTGAGTGACTTTTCGAAGTTAACTCAGAGCAACGTACCAATTCAAATAATAAAAAAAATTAAAAACTTTCACATTTAAAACAAGTAACTATTTTATAAATAATCATTAACCCTTTTGCTTTACGCCATTAGAAGTTCATTTAGTGTTGCATACCAAATCAAAAAAAAAAATTTTTCTGTAAAAAATCATGTCATTATTTTAGAAATAATAAATAGCCTTTTTAGGGTGCATGCCTTTTGAAGTTTATTCAGTGTAGAGTACCAATTCAAAAAAAATTATTTTTTTAGTTAAAATTTATGTCATCAATTTTACAAACTACCAATAACCGTTTTGCTGCATGACTTTCGAAATTATATCTTCGAAAAATTCAATGCCAATATTTATTCGGCAAATATTGAGCATTAATTTCCAAAGATTAAAATTTTGTAAAAGTTTAATAATAATATATTTATTTTATGATCGAGACATTTAACAATAAACCTGGAGATAGCACAGTTATTCCTATAGAAAAACAATTATCGAAAAAGTTACAAAATCGCACAAATTTATTATTAAGATTAAAATAAATTATTTTTACAGCTATTCAAATAACTATCACATTACAAAATTTTGTTACTTATAAGTATTCATTACTCTGTAAAAAATTCCGAATCAAATTACGGTATAAAGTCTCTGAAACTTTGGGTGCATCATCCGTAAAATCCATTTTTACAGTAAAATATCATACCGTAAACTTTACAGTAATATTTATTTAATTAGAGTGATTTTGCGATTATTACTGTACAGTATTACCGTAATTTTTATTACTGTAAAAATTATGGTATATCAGATTTTTGTTCCGTAATATGTTCCGGTAAATATGGATTTTACTGTATAAGTGCAAGCACCTTGAGTGCTGGTACTTTTCACCGTAATTTGGAATGGAAATTTTTTAAGTATATAAGAAAATTAAAACTATTATAAAAGTTGTTATTAAGGAATTAATATTTAAAATTTCATTCAATATTTATTAAAATTCAATCATTTGGAGTCAGCGTCAAGAGAAATTTCGTTATACGCAACCGTAAATTAACTCACTCTAAGAAATTACTTTATACAATATGTGAAATAATTCTTTTTTGAAAGATTTATAATTACTATATAAAATAACGTACCAGCCATTGCCTTAAAGAGATATTCAGCAAAAAGTCCTCTATGTTCATCTTCCATCCAGTTTGGAATCATAAGCTTCACATAGTCCAGGTGCCGTTTTAATCGACGATAAAGCTCTTCGGGAAGAATATCTGATAGAGACTTCCCTGTAGTTGAAAAGCAAAAGATATAATATCTACAGAAACACTTTCTTCACACTTGACACTTATTGAACTATTAATAAGATGCAAAATGAATTATTGCGTAACCCTACAAAAGTATTGTTTTTCTTAGCAGTGAGAAATTTTTAAATTTATCTGGAATAAAATTGATGAGTTGGAATTGAAGATTGAAACAGTTTTTTATTGCCAAAAGTCCAAGATTCGAATCCCAGTGGTGGCTGATTGATACGAATTTTGCGCTCTGCTCGTGCCGGTTACAGTGCTGATGTAAATTATCTTCAGTTGCAGGCAGATCATGGGTAAGAATTCCCTTGCAGTCAATTCCACACAATTCAATTCAATTTCACTATTATAATTTACAATTATATAACTTGAAGCTTAAAAATATTTCAAACGTAAATACTGATTGATACCAAACCATGATTGATATGAATTTTGCGCTCTGCTCGTGCCGGCTACAGTGCTGATGTAAATTATCTTCAGTTGCAGACAGATCATGGGTAAGAATTCCCTTGCAGTCAATTCCACACAATTCAATTCAATTTCACTATTATAATTTACAATTTTATAACTTGCAGCTTAAAAATATTTCAATCGTAAATACTGTTCACATCATCGTAAAAGTAATATAGTAGAAATTCATGGGAGTTTACGGAGATGATATTAACAAAAAATTTCAATTTCATTACCGGGACTACTTATTCAATTGCAATTACACATTAAATATTCAAACAAGAGATTTCAAAGTTATAGTTCTTATTACTACCCCTTTAGTAAAAAAATACAAAACTTAAAAGTTAATTTTACCGAATAAATAGTTTTTATACCAACCAAAGAATTACCAAATTTTACATAGTTTACCAAATTTTAAAACTATTTTATATAACAAAAACATATTTTATTGTTAATTTTACCAAAATATTACCAAAGCTCTTCGGTAAAAATGACCGAGTTTTGGCGTAGTAACACAGTAAATTTTACCATATTCTGGTAGACCATACTTTTTTCTCAGTGTATACTATAATTAAATATATCGTGTATATATTTAAATGTCATATATATTTTTGAAGGTTTAATATATTTAAACATTATGCATGTTTAAATGTTTCTATAATTTAAGCGTATACAACACATCTATTCCATGTCAGTAATATTCTCGCTGATACACTTACCCGTCGGTAACATCTGACAGCTAGCAAGCTGTGCCACTGTTTCAGGATCGGATAAGTCAAGCTCAAAAAAGACACTGTCAGCTCTTTCGAAAGACTTCTTGGCTGGAAAAGGAATGTGGTCCCATACCATAGTGTACGGTACATGGATCGTACCGAAGAAATACACCGGCGGTACTCTCTCGGACAATGTCCATAGAAATGAGGTATCCTGAAATTAATATCAAGAACTTAAATCTTATTTCTCATCAGTACTTTCTTCTCTGCATCCTTGTAGGAATTTCAAATAGCGTTAAACCATGATATCGTGAAAAAAATTTGCTGCAACATTAAAATTGTGAGAAGTCTAACTATATTATCGTGAAAATTAATAAATTTTAATTTGATTACATGATAATATGGTTCAATCTGAAAGGCTACATGGTTCAATTTTGCTCTTTTTCGAACATAAAATTTAATAGAAACTGTTTCGAAAGAACAAAAGTACATAATGCAATTGGATTACTCTAATTAAAATAAAGTGAAATTGTGAAATTACACCAATAAGATTACGCTAAATTTTTAGTTGCTGAAATTTTTTTTAATATTTGCTTCGTTTGGAATATGAAGTGCTGCTTTCTTTTTTTTTAATGCTAAATTGGAAGGAAAAAAAATTAACTTCAGAAGCTTATAAAATAATCAAAAATAAAGGACCAAACTGTTTTTTCGCTGCACAGAATTATCTGTAATCTCTAAAGAAAGAAAAAAATGTCAGCTTACTAGTTTCCTTATCTTGAATGATTAAAGCTGGAAAAAAATTTCACTGATAATTTGTGTGAAATTTGAAAATTTTCATGTATTGCCTCTGGCACAGCATTGTGTTGGTTTAAAATATCGAGTTTTGGAAAATTATTTTAATCCACTATTTTGCGTATTTAAACTTTTTCCAGAAAATAAAAAAGGATTAATTTTTAGAAGAGTTTAAGAAGGTGTAATTTCGTTTAACTTTCTATTTCAATTTATATGCATGGTTCTAAATATTTACTCTAGAGTATTCTTATTTCCAAAACTATTTATATGTATAAAAAAGGTTCTACTTTAAACCCATTATCAAATTTCGTGTAATGCTTTCGTGTACAAAATCTTCCTAGCGAACAGTTAGGAAAAACATATCACAATAAAAATTTTTTTACTCATTTGCGGAGTGTTTCGTAAACAACACCCTTACATTTTTAAAACATGGCAGAAACTGAATTTAAAAAACTATGCTCGCTGACGAATCATTATTGAAGAAGACAAGATAATAAATATTAAAAAGAGTTTGACTTTCAGAAGAAACGGAGGAATTGATAGGTGATTATCAGACACAGTTTAAAACAGAAAAGCTAATTTTGATATTTTTAATCTTATCATCATCATTCACGATTCTTCAATTTTCCATAACGCTATTTTTTTAAATTTTATTTGCTTAAATGTTAAGTGACCTCTAATGTGAATAGTTTTTTGACTAGATAAGGTATTTAAAATGTTATATTAAAGGTGGTCATTGCGATACGCCATACATACAAGATTTATACAAATTTACTCAAGTCGTACAAATACATTCAATAAATAAACCATCAAATTTGCAGAGGGATACAATTTCACAATTATAATATACAATAAAAATTTTGGAAATTAGACCAATCTAGGCATATGGTAAAATATATTTCACCGAAAATTAGCTAAGTCATTCAGTTATAACTTGAAAATTATGGTGAAAATAAAACTGCATAGTAATAATCGATAAGTGTATTGATTAGAGAAATTGAATAAAACAATTTCATTTCCTTATTAATATAAACGGATGCCAGCGATAAAGATTGCGGCGTTTTCAATTGATGCAGTATTATCTGTTCCCAAAATAAAGCTCATGAAAATTTTCTTAAGTTTAAGGACATTCCATGGACTTAAAAACTAATAACCACGTGTATGCGGAGATCATGATCAGTACACAAAAAACAGAGACATTGGCACTAAAAACTGATTTAGTGCTGACATTAAATTTAATGATGTGGCAAAAGACTAAGCCGCGTCTTTAACATTGACTGACTGTTCACTTTTGGCGCCAGTGTCATTCAGATTGGAGGAGCGGCAAAGCGCTTTCTTTTCCTCCTTAAACGTTTAACTTTGCCATTGTTATCATCAACAAATATGCGTGAATTCAATAATGAGTTTGTTCCTTAGAAATGATTCGAAGTTTTTTTTCTCATAGGTTGGTTGATAAAGTTCTAGTTAGTATATCATTACTACTTTTTGGGTAAAATTTGATTCCCTTCCACGCCCTTATGATTTCATTTTCAGAATGATCTAATGGTATCGATTTTATTAATCTACGAGCAAACTTTTAAGTTTAAATTTTATATTTTTACTCCTAATCAGATAACGATTTTTTTATAAATTTGAATTCTTAATAGTCATATTTTGTGAAATTTAAGTTTCCATTAGCTCACATTTTCTTACGCATTTATTACGTCTAAATTACGATTTTTGCTATAGCGTTGTGATAATGACAAGAAATATTTACATGTACCGTCATGATAATCAATGAACAAATATTTTAAGTCTTATTTTTTCATTTTGACCCTCTCATTTTGAATAAATTTAAATTAAATAATTATTAATACACACCTTTAAATTCTTGTTATTTTACATTAATTATATATTATTATATATTAATATAAACTATTGTAATATAATATAGATTTATTACATTTTTCTAATAATTATTATATTTATTTTTGTCATAACACTGCGATATCATCACCAAAAATACTTACAAATATCGCTCTAATAGCTAAAGAACGGATATTTTAAGTCTTAATTTTTCACTTATATTATCTAAATTTAAATTAATACTTAATACAAACATTTAAATTTATATTATCTTACATTTATAACAGATNACCTTTAAATTCGTGTTATTTTACATTAATTATATATTATTATATATTAATATAAACTATTATAATATAATATAGATTTACTAGGAGGCTTCGCCCCCTGCTCGCTGACGCTCGCCCACCAACGGAACTGCTTTCGCAGTTCATTTCAGATTGCTTTGCAATCCAATGCTCGCTTTGCTCGCTCATTGGATACGTTCTTAACGTCTAGCTTTTGTATACTTTTTTGAATACTGAAGTTCCGAAAACTTTTCACTGTAGAAAATTCTGAACCTGTACATTTCAATATAATCTGGGCATTTGGCGATACAACACTTATAGAATTGAAAGATTTATTACTTCAAGCGCTCAGGTATCATAATTTTGATCTAGTTGCGCTTCTATGTCATTTTGATTTATGTTGCTAAGTTAACTTTCAAAAAATTCGATGGCTGGCAACAGCATTTTTATTTTTAAAGTTGTTTATTTTTATTTCTTTTAGAATTCGTTATTTTTTTAGCGATACGTTTTTTGACCGAACAAAATTCTTTACCGACTGTTTTCTGTATATATGAAGAAAATAAAGTAAATATTTAAGTGCTGTGAAAAGAATCTTATTTAGTTGTACAAAGTACTTCCTTAAAAATGAAAACTGTTGCCACCGGCGGAAAAGAAATACAGCCAAAATTTGGGAGCCACGTAAGGGAATTATATATATTAGATTACATTTTCTAATAACTATTATGTTTATTTTTGTTATAACGCTGCGATATCATCACCGAAAATACTTACAAATATCGCTCTAATAGCTAAAGAACGGATATTTTAAGTCTTAATTTTTCACTTATATTATCTAAATTTAAATTAATACTTAATACAAACATTTAAATTTATATTATCTTACATTTATAACAGATTTATTACACCGAATGACCAATTCACATTGAAATAAAAAAAATGCTTCCCCGTGGTTACATTTAAAATTTAAAGAGTTTGATACAACCTTCGTAATCATTTTTAAACTCTTATGTACAATACAAACTTCCTATCCCATTTAAATTTGACTGGGACATAATAATTGCATATTTACGAAAGATGATGGATCAAATTCCAATAAAAAACTAAATATTATATTCGAATTAAATTTTTTCTTCAGAAAATCAATAAATAGTTTTTAAAAAAATGGTAAAATTGTATGACAGTCAAGAATAAACTGAGTTTTTAAATGTGATTTTTTAAATTCGAATTCTTTCAATTCTCCCACTTATCACTTTTAAATATCCCCTATATTTGAATCAAATTTCAATTAAAAGATTTTCAAGAAATCTATCATAATTTTTTCTAAACTTCCAAAATAATATGACTCCCAGAAATAAACTAAGTTTTTAAACGTTATCTTATGACATGTTTAATAATTCATATTCTTTCAATTCTCCCACTTATCACTTTTAAATATTCATTATATTTGAACCTAATTCTGAATAAAGGATTTTGAAATACTCAATAATAATTTTTTTAGAATAATAAGATTATATTACACTAAAAAAAACTAAGTTTTTAAACGTTGTTTTATGAAATACTTGTAACTTTGAATTGTTTCAATTCTCCTACTTATTACTTTCAAATATTCACTATATTTGAATCCAATTCTAATTAAATGATTTTCAGAATTTCAATTATAATTTTTCTAAAATAACAAAATTATATTACACTCAAAAAGGAACAATATTGTATAATATAAATAAATCAAATTTTTAAATGTTGTTTTATGACACGCTTTTTATCTTCGAATTCTCTTACTTATCACTTTTAAATGTCTACTTTATTTGAATCTAATTTTAATAAAAGGATTTTCAGAAAATCAATACAAAATTTTCTTAAAATTGCGAAATTATTTAACATTAAAAAATAAAATTAACTAAGTTTGTAAACATTGTTTTATGGCATGAATTTCAATTCGAATTCCTTCGATACCCATCTTAAAAAATATGAGAATTTTAGAAAGATTATTGAATAAAAATAATAATCACCCACTTGTTGTGATTGTTCGCATGATAATTGTCGTTTTTTATGTCTTTTAGCAGTAGACATGGTCAATGACTGGACCTAAAAAAAATGAAGGAAACATTATTCAAAGCAAAATATTACTCTGCTGAAATTGAATGGGAAAAACTTTGTTCGCAAGAATGAAATGAGCTTGTTTGTTGTTTACTAAAACTAAAATAGTTTTCACTTTTTTATAATTCAAAAAGGAAAGTTGTTAATAAAATGTTTTTGATTACATACTATTCTAAAAAAATATACCATATAGAATGATTAAGTTACATATAAGAAGAAAAATCATCCCTAACTAAACTGAGTGTTCATAAACATTAAAAATAAAACACAAAAAAATATTGTGAGTTTTGATTAAAAATAGCTTGCTGTGTTTTACACCTGATTATCAGGTACATAATGAATATCCTTTATTTATAATGTTCTAATAAATAAATATTTTTTTCTTTTATTTATATATTTATATCCTTTATGTACTAATATTGGTTTAAAAATATTCTGGAGCAAATTAAAATCATAACCACTTTTTAACAATTATTAACTTTTCAGATATAAATAATAAATATATCATCTAAGCTCCCATCACAAGATTTGATGAAATTCCCACAAAACTTCCAATTTCCCTTTAGTCAGCTGAATCCTGTCAATTCTGAAGTGATTAATATTAATCGCCTTCATAATAAAGCTCATACCATAAAGTAAGAAGCTCATATTGATTTTTTAATTGTTGAGCAATATGGAGCAAACGAACTGATATATCCTGTTAGAAAAAAATCATGAATAAATTTCTGAAGGAAATAAATATAAAGCATAGACAATTCACTTAGAACCACTTCGCCAGGTTATCTTTTCTTGAACGATGAATTATGAAGACAATGATGAATAGACCACAAGTAAATCATGATTAATAGCCGTGGAAGGAATGATGAATCGAGGAAACTTGATTATCGTCTTGATAAACAAAGGCACAAAAAGGCAATATTAAGAGCCATTTTTTTTGTCTCTGTCATTAGAATTGTGCTACTTAACAGCCTTTAACAATTATACGATTGCTTTAAATGCTGTAATAATTTAAATTCATTTCAGACAAATCTGGAATGAATTTATTAATTACACAGCCAAAATAATGTGAAACATTAATTGTTGTTTTTCGATATCGCCTAAGGAAAATATGGTTTTTAAATGGAGTAAATTAAAAATGCATTAGTATAACATTAAACTGTTTGATTCAATATGATGGATTAATAAACTTAATGAGATTTGATATCCATTGCAATCGAATATGAGGCCCTAATTAAATTTTAAAAGTAATAGTAAATATTGATGTGGCATTCCGTTATTTTAGCTTGTGGTTTATATCTCAAAGTAAACAAAATATAAGGCAAAACCTTTTTTCTTAAGGAAAACAAAAAGTAATTTTCTTAAACATAGTCTAAAATTTTTAAAAAATGTATTTTCGATAAATAAACATTGTTTTTAAAGATATTTTCTGGGGTCTCAATAATGTTATTTTGATGAATAAAGTTTTTTTTCCTCGTAGCTACAGCTATGAAATTGAAAAGAAAGTATATTAACTTAAGAGGACTCCATATCACAGGAGAAACTTTTCGTTTCAAATTCTCTTTCACATTTACTACTAATTTAAAAGAAATAAAAATAGACTTCCGACAAACCTTATTGGAAGAGCACTGCCCCATTGCGTAATCCTAATTTATCTTCTCATAATTTATTTTCATTTTGACATTTTAAAAATTTCTTTTCAGTATTTAAAACTCTAGGGCTTACTCTAGGTTTGTTTGAACTCACTTTTTCTATACTTTAAATTTTAAATTAATCGTGAAAAAGAATTTGCAACGAAATATTTCCTCCCCCCCCCTGGTATGGCGCCCTTTTAAAGCACAGAACTGAGATTATTTGCAAATATTGCATTAAAAAAGGATTTATTTTCGCATATATGCATAAAATAAAAATAATAAAATGAAATAAAAACTGCAGCATAAATTATACCAGAATCTTTCTTTGAATCTAACTCAAAAGAAAATACGAGCTGTAGAATACGCTAATTGCTATAATTTAAGCCATATCTTTCTGTTTCTTGTTTTGGAGAAGAAAAAAAAGCGAAAGAAAAAGAAAATGAAAATGCAAATTTTAGCATATTGCATAATAATCTTGAGTGTTAAGTCAGATATAATATTTTCAGATGCATATTTTATGAAAAATACATAAGGATTACGTTGCAACAAATATTTTGCGCAACCTTGAAACAATTTAATTAAGTTTTATCCAGTAGCTGAAATGATAATATTTTAGTTTGTATAGAGATACATAAATTTAGTAAACGTGTTTATCTTCAACCTTGCGAAGAGTTTTTCAAATTTGAATGCATATTGTGTCTCTAATAAGCATTTGATTGTATATTAAGGCTCGCCCTTGAACTATTTTCGAGATTTTTTTCTACATCATCATCACATGGCATGTATTTTCAACAAATATCTACCTTCATACTCACACTGAAAAAAAATTGGGTAAAAACTACCAAAATATGGTAAAATTTACCATGCTTTTGGCTCTATGGGGATAACAGAAAGTTCGGTAATTTTTCTCGGCAATGTCATTACCATACAATATGGGTATATTACCAGAATTTATTATATTTATTACATTAATTTATTACCGAATTATTAGAATTCTCTTCTTGCATCAAATTTAGTTTGGGTACCCTATATCAAAGCAGCAATTTTAAAAGGCTTAAGCATGTTTTTGGCACTAAAAAAAGTTGCCAAATCAAACAATTAATATGCTAGTACTTATCACTAAGTAGGAGACATTTGTCTATTGTATTGTTTCACTCAGGAACTCAAAATAGCATCTAAAAATGTAGTTGCCTGCGCTTAATAGTAATTTATCAGTTCTTGAAGTACCGTTGAAAACTTATACGTTTCCAAAATGCCATTAAATAAATTTATGGAGAAAATTTTTTTATCCTCCCTGAGATCCCCGAAATCATCAAATACCAAATGCTTCTCGATATCTTCCACTTCCACATTAATGGTAAATTTAAAGTGGAAGAATAAATTCAAACTTAATAGGCGTTAAATATTGAAAAGGTTCAAACAATAGTGACAAGTTCAAACATTAAAAATGAATTTAGTCAAAAGCAAATTTTAACTAAAGATAAACTCAAACTAGCTTATAAATTTGCAACACACTTTTCTAAAATTCATAAACGGGATGAAATAAATTTATTTATCGATATATTTCTATTCCACAATAAGAACAAGCTTGAGAATGAAGATTAAATTTAAATATTCGGGATATTAAAATTAAAAGATAAATTTAAGCACTAACGAAATGTTCCAGCTTAAAACGCGAAGTGGTACATAAATTCAGACAAGTAGATAAATTAATATTAGACTATTAACATGATGATAAAATTATATCAGAATATAGATAGTAGTATCAAAATATACATAGTACTATCAGAAGGGTATATAAATTTATAGCAAACCTTTCTGAAATTCAAATATGCGATGAAATAAATTTATTTATCGATATATTTCTCTTCCGCAATAAGAATAAGCTTGGAAATGTAGAATAAATTTGAATATTAGAGATGTTAAAATTAAGAGATAAATTAAAACATTAAGGAAATGTTTCAAGCGTAAAAGATGAATTTAATCATTTTAGATAAAGTTTAACTAAACATATATTTTAACAAAAAGTGATATTCTAAAACTTAAAATAAATAACAACAATAAAATTTAAATCCTATGAAACATAAAAAATTAAAAATAACTTAAAATAGTACTGATAAAGACTAAGTGGGTATTAATCACGTTTATTTTACGTATTTCTAACGAGTAATTGATAATTGAAGCGTTTTATGTAAAGTATTGTAAAATATAAGTTATCAAAAATATTAAAATTTGAAATGTAACATAGTACTAAAATATATATGATCTTTTTGCTTTATCATTACAGCAATAGCGCCTTATCCATTCTGAAGAGACAGGAAATAAAAGATACTGAAGATGATAGATATGCTATGGATGGTTTGAACTCGGAACATGGAGAAAAAATCTCCTTTTCAAGGGGCACCACAGCTCGTAGGCGGGTTGGGTGGGTCTAAAGGACATGTTTCTCTCGATATCCGATGACCCGAAGGAGTGTCCGATAACCCATCGGCACAGTTTTCTTGTAAATGTCCTTCTATAAATATCTGTCACATTGGCCAACAGCGAGATGACATTCATTTTTATTTATTTTGCTATCATCTTGGCGATCATTTCTCTTTTCCATTTTATTTTTTTTTTCTTTTGAAAAATGTAGGTTTAGTTTGCGAGAATTACAGCCTTATATTATATCGTCGCCAATTAAGCCACTCCCCCACCCGAAGGTGGATTTAGTGAAGAATTCGGTGACAGAGAAGCTTAATAACGCATCGCTGAGTTGTTGATGAGTAGGAAAAAATTACAACTCAGCTTCAATTTTCGGTGCCAAAGATAAGAGATGAAGAGAAAAAATTATGGAGTGCTTGGGTAATTTTAGAGTGCTGTTTTTTTTCTTCCAATGATTTTTATTTTAAATGGCTGAGAAATGGCTTTTTAACTAAACCTCACATTTACCATGTATCATGAGTCAATAATAATAATAAAAAATTAGCAAGATTACACTGATAGAAATTTTGAAGCATGTTGTTTAATTTTGCTACAATTTGAAAGCAGTGTCATGTTGAAACAGTACAATTATCGTGCATATTTTATCATTCCTAAACGTGATCTCACGATATTACTGCTCAAGTTCAACAGAATCGTTGTTCAATTTAACAATTTATAAAGTTTGGAACTAACTTGCTCGATAGCATTTACCACTGAAATTATTTTTCCCTAAGTGTAAATCTAAAATAATTTTAAATTTATATTAGAGTAATATTTTATTAATATAGTATATATTTTATTAATATAAATTAAAAATGTAGTGAATCTGTATAAATATGTTATGGTTAATGCTATAAATTTGGTTATTATTCGTAATAATCCGCGATTATTAAT